AGCTACACGCTCCAAACCCTCCCGCAGGCCTTTCCACGGCAACTCTCGCAGCCACGCCCCAGCCATCTGTTTTTAAGAGCGTTCAACCCTGCCGTTTGCCCGCCCTCAAACCTTCCAAACCCTCCAAGCCCTCCAAACCCTCCCGCAGGCCTTTCCACGGCAACTCTCGCAGCTACACGCCCCAGGCATCTGTTTTTCAGGGCGTTCACGCCTGCCGTTTGCCCTTGAAGCATCAACGAAATGGTGAATCCCCCAGTCATTACCATCTTTATAGGTGGTATTTTGACCATTCCCAGTCATGGGTGGTCTATTATCATTTTTTTACCAACATTAAAATATACATGCGCTTCCCCCCCTCCATCCTTAAAGGGGGTCGGCGGCGGGGCGTTAGCCCATTTATAAATCCGGCGATGCCTCGCCGTTTGGTGGTGTTGCTAAGCGCATAGCTTTAGCTACCCGGGGGCGCGCCCCTGCCGCCGACCTTTTCAAAAATCCTTCAGGGTGCTGGGGGTTTCACGTTTTTGGGGGTTCGGGGTGGGAAAAAAGATGGTAAAATTGGAAGATGCGTTTCGGAGGTCCTTGTTGGGCGTTTTTTGGTCGCTTTTTGGTGGATTTTTCATGTTTTTTTTGGTGCTGTCCATGCGTAAAAATCGTGTAATTTATAATGTTTTTGTGCCTTTGGCATCTACAAAAAGCTTGTGACAACATGCTGGAAACTGCGTAAATACAAGTGTTTTTGCTAGGCCTGGGCCACAAAACACTGTAAATACCGTGATTTTTGCTAGCAGAGGCTCAAAACCTCGTAAATACCGTCGTTTTGCGTTGGCGCGGAGCCAAAAACATTTGTATTTACTGTGTTTTTTGGTTCCGAGAACGTGAAAAATCGCGCAAGCACCGCCTATTTGACGCTTTTTGGGGGTTTGCAAAAACCGTCGGTTTGACGATTTTGGGGGGTTTGCAAAAAGTACCAGCTACAAAGATAACAACGACAACGACAACAGGACCAAGCAGCAACAGCTATAACAACAATAACAACAACGACGACGACGACGCCGCCGCCGACGACTAAGACGACGACAACAACGAAAACGACGACAATGACGATTCTTACCTAGTTCAGATGAAATCCCCCTCTCTCTTTCCCTCCCCCCGGCCCCTACAGGCATCGCCGGTGTGCGAAGCTCTACAATAAGTCCGGCGATGCCTCGCCGTGCAGTGGTGGTTGCTAAGGATAGCTTTAGCTACCTGGGGGCGCGCCCCTGCCGCCGACCCTTTCCGAGAATCCTTCAGGGTGCTGGGGTTTTCACGTTTTTGGAAGTTCGGGGTGGGAAAAAAGAGGGTAAAATTGGAAGATGCGGTTTGGACTTGTTGGGCGTTTTTTGGTCGATTTTTGGTCAAGTCAATTTGTCATATTTTTTTGGTACTGTCCACGCGTAAAAATCGTGTAATTTACAATGTTTTTGTGTCTTTGGCATCCAAAAAAAGCTTCTGACAACATGCTGGAAACTGCGTAAATACCAGTGTTTTTGCTAGGCCCGGGCCACAAAACACTGTAAATACCGTGATTTTTGCTAGCAGGGGCTCAAAACCTCGTAAATACCGTGGTTTTGCGCTGGCGCGGAGCCAAAAACATTTGTATTTACTGTGTTTTTTTGTTCCGAGAACGTGAAAAATCGCGCAAGCACCGCCTATTTGACGCTTTTTGGGGGTTTGCAAAAACCGTCGGTTTGACGCTTTTGGGGGGTTTGCAAAAAGTACCAACTACAAAGAGAACAACGACAACGACAACAGGACCAAGCAGCAACAGCAACAACAACAATAACAACAACAACAACAACGACAACGACGACGACGACGCCGCCAACGACGACGAAGACGACGACAACAACGACAACACCGACAATGACGACAACGACGACAACAAGGACAACGACAACGACAACGACCCTCTCTCTTTCCCTCCCCCGACCCCTACAGGCATCGCTGGGCGAAGCTCTACAATAGATAGATATAATGAAGGGACATGGCGTGGAAGGTTGTTTTCGTACAGTTACGCGGTCCCATTTCCAGGGATAGGTTCCGAGCATCATGTCAAGCCAAGGCGCCCCCGTTTGGGCAAATTCCGTGATACAACGTTTTCCTCCAAAATCACTCTGGCGCCTTTTCCGCCCGTCCTCCTCCCTCACCCTCCCGGCGTCCGCGCAGTCGCAGGTGTCCGAAGGCGGCGTCCGCAGGCATGGACTGGACGCCTGCAAAGTCCACACAGTTGGATTGGGCGTCCCAAGCAACCGCGCAGTGGCAGGGCATGCCACAGTGAGCGGCCCACCGGCAAGGATTGGGCGTCCATAACGTCTGCTCGTTGGCAGGGCGCGAGATTGATTTTGTTCGTTTCGCGGCGTGCCAGGCAGAGCTCGGCCCGAAGGATTGGGCTTATCCGTAGTTCACTGTCTCCTTGCTATGTGTTTGGCCCGCGCAGGCAATTGCACATGAGACCCGGTTCTGGAAACGGGCCCCTTAACGAGGCATATTTTAACCTTCTACAGCGTGTACCGTCATAGTATCATTGATTGCCCGCCCGCATTGGCGGCAGCACATGTACCAGCGTATCCTTCCTTGCTGCCTATACGGAGCTCGATGTAGCCGCTCGTGTGTGTGTGTTTTGCGACCCCGAAAAGAGGGCCAGGTTCAGGACCCAGAAATGGGGCCGCAACTCAAGATTTACAAGCCCGGCCTCCAAATTCGTGGCCCCATTTTTGGGCCCATGGCCTGGGCGCCCGCCTGTCCGTAAAGTGCATGCTTTTTTGCGCTTGGTTGCGAAGATATTGGTTTCACAATGAGGGGACCTGGCATGGAAGGGCTAGGTTCCGAGCATATCCGAGCATCATGTCAAGCCAAGGCGCCCCGTTTGGGTAAATTCCGTGATACAACGTTTTCCACCAAAATCACTCTGGCGCCCTTTCTGCCCCGTCCTCCTCCCTCACCCTCCCACCGCCCCCGTTGCACCATGTTGCATTTAACTTAGTAAGGCTCAAACGGCGTCCGCAGCATTCCGCAGCGTCCGCGCAGTCGCAGGGCGTGCCCGAAGGGGCCGCGTCCGCAGCGCGCACGCAGTTGGATTGGGCGTCCGCAGCATCCACGCCGCAGCAGGGCTTGCCACAGCGAGCGGCCCACAGGCAAGGACTGGGCGTCCATAGCGTCCGCTCATTGGCAAGGAGCGAGATTGATTTTGTTCGTTTCGCGGCGTGCCAGGCAGAGCTCGGCCCGAAGGATTGGGCTTATCCGTAGTTCACTGTCTCCTTGCTATGTGTTTGGCCCGCGCAGGCAATTGCACATGAGACCCGGTTCTGGAAACGGGCCCCGTAACGAGGCATATTTTAACCTTCTAGATTCTAGAGCGTGTACCGTCATAGTATCATCTGATTGCCAGTTCACATTGAAATGGCGGCAGCACATGTACCAGCTCGTGTGTGTGTTTTGCGACCCCGAAAAGAGGGCCAGGTTCAGGACCCAGAAATGGGGCCGCAACTCAAGATTTACAAGCCCGGCCTCCAAATTCGTGGCCCCATTTTTGGGCCCATGGCCTGGGCGCCCGCCTGTCCGTAAAGTTTACGCTGGACGGCGGCAATTGACGCTAAAAATTCAATGCTTTTTTGCGATTGGTTGCGACATGTTGCGAAGATACTGGTTTCACAATGTGGGGACATGGTGTGGAAGGTTGTTTTCGTACAGTTACGCGGTCCCATTTCCAGGGCATAGGTTCCGAGCATCATTTCAAGCCAAGGCGCCCCGTTTGGGCAAATTCCGTGATACAACGTTTTCCTCCAAAATCACTCTGGCGCCCTTTCCGCCCCGTCCTCCTCCCTCACCCTCCCACCGTCCCCGTTGCATTTCCCTTAGCAAGGCTCCTATACGGCGTCCGCAGCGTCCGCGCAGTCGCAGGGCGTGCCCGAAGGGGGCGTCCGCAGGCATGGATTGCGTCCGCCGCGTCCAGACAGTCGGATTGGGTGTCCGCAGCATCCGCGCAATGGCAGGGCATGCCACAGTGACACAGGCAAGGACTGGGCGTCCATAGCGTCCGCTCATTGGCAGGGCGCGAGACTGATTTTGTTGGTTTTGCGGCGTGCCAGACAGACCTTGCCCGAAGGATTGGGCTTGGAAGAATCGAGGTCCCAAATCACCAAGCTTCGCATCTCTTCCAAGTTGATCGGCAGCAGCAATGTTTCGTCAGCAGCCAAAGGTCTTCGCTTTCGAGCTTGAAACGTTATAGCTACAGCAGCCGCAAAATGTGAGAAAGAAATCTTGCATGTAAATTGGATGACATGTCTGAATTGAAATGACAAGTATGTCAAATTGATAAAAATAGGGTATGCCATTCAGCACTCCCCCTTGGGTGTTTCGTCAGGCTACACCAAATTTTTCCTTTACAGCTCAAACTACCGTAGCCGTTGTACTCTGTACAGTACATGCATCCCCTGAACTCTCTGCTGTTCTCGGTTCTGGGGCAGCTCGGATCCGTGTGAACAGTTTGACCTGACATCAGCAGCAAAAGTGGACTTCCAGGGATCGGCCTTCCACGCGTTCGCATCGCCACTTCTTTGCAAAGCGTGCACCAAGCGAACTGCCTCGCATATCCAGTTCTCGGCCCTTGGAGTTGAGTGCATCCACGGCTGGAACGATATATCGTCCCATACGGTGTTCTGAACACCTGGAATCCAAGTTCTGCTCCGCTGTGATCTTCTGGTGCCTGGGGAAATTGACGATTTCGTCATCCAAAGCGATCTCACGAATCGCTGTCTCGATTCCAGCTGCCATGTCATCTGAGGAACTTCCATAGGACGAGCTGGAAGTTCATGGGCCACCTTGAGATGGGGCAGCCTTTGATTTCGGCTTTGGCATTTGGCGGGGGAGCCTTCATTGGCCATCTGCCATTGGCGCATCCTCCTTTGCGGGACACTTCGGTCGTGGCTGAGAAACATTCCCGTCAAGTTCCGCACCTACTCCTACCTTCCACAGACCTTAGGCCATTCTTCTTCATCATTTTGAGCTCGTGATGCTGACAACGTGGCCGCCATGGTGATGAGCTTGAGGGCCATCATTGTGACCAGTTTTGAGCTGGTCTTGATTTCCTCCTCATCCTTGTCTGGAATTGAAACCTCTTTTTTGGCTTGAGCCGTTCCCATGCCCATCATCTTTTTCAAAGCTTCCATTCGGGTCGAAGCCAACGCCTTCGTGCCCAAGTCAGCCAGCATCCTTTCACCAGGAACATGGCGTATACCTGCCAGCCCCGTCGCAGCACTGATTGACGCGCGATGCCCATCTCAAATGAAGATGCCTCGTTCTCAAGCTTCCTCCTTCAGCGACCAAAATGGCCAGAGCAGCCTGAGAATCGCACAATGCCACCTTATTGACATCGCCGAGCAATTCAGCCAGCACCACAAAAACTGATTCACCGGCAACCATCGCTTCCACCAGCCCCATCAGCTCTGATTCCGCAGTGCTCAAGGTGATCGTACCCTGTCTGACCATGACCACAAATGATCCATGCGATTCATTTGACTCAGGAGCAAAGCTGGAGCCTGAGTGCACATACAAAGTGATGGGATCTTCGATCTTTTCCTTGTATCGAAGGCCCTCACCTGCAGTTCCTTTGAGGTATGATCTCATCTGCGCAGCTGTTTCTTTGATGCAATTGGCGGCCTTCAAAACGTTGGCGCCCACTCTGGAAACTCCAAACATCAAACCTTGTCTGCTTCTGGTCACCAGCCAGAGAAGTTCGCCGATGACTTTCTATGAAAATTTGACATCGTCGCAGAAGGAGAAATCACATCCGGTGGCATTGAAGCTTGATCTCTGGTGATGGGAATCTTCCTTGGCTTCCCTTTCTCCTCATAGCGACCAAGCAAGTCCTTGATGTATGACTTCTGAGAGGGACCATTGGACTTTCTCCTCCACCTCAATCTGATGGCAAGCCACCTCCAGGCCAAGGAACCTCACCGGCGTTTCACCCACCCATTCTGGTTGAGTGGTGGCCCATGTGTCCTGAAACCTCTGGGCAAGCGTCTTGGCGACATTCTCCTCTGCCACAATGAAAATGTCATCAACATACGTCATCACAAGTCCAATGACGCGGCCATTGGAAATCAGTTCTTCCTCTGCTTCTTGAAAATCTTCTCTGACCAAAACCATCTTCCAAAGATTCTGTTCTGACTCCATGGGCTTCAGCTCCAAACTTTCACAGCGGCCTGCAATGACCACCTTGATGTCAAAGGTCTTCATCGTGCTCCTTTGGGGTCTTGAACCCTGCAGCCTCAGGGAGGAATGGTGGTCTTGCAGCCTCCTTGAAAGGGGGTCTATCAGCCTCCTTAGATGGGGGTCTATCAGCCTCCTTCGATGGGGGTCTGTCAGCCTCCTTTGATGGGGGTCTATCAGCCTCTCAAATCCTGGGCTGGCTTTGTCGGGCTGTTCCTCAGAAGTTGCAAAATTCTCTTCTATCAACAGCTGAATTTGTCCCCTGCATTCCTCTTTCTCTTCTTGATCTCTCATCGCTTGCATTCTCAAAAACTCCATGCCCCTCTCTTGCTGGGCCCTGGTGGTCCTAGCTGCATCGCTATCCAAAAAATCAGGATGTGAAAGAACAATTGAAACAATGGAGGGCCATACAACCATGCGGCTTGTCCTTGCAGTGCAGCAAAGTTTCTCAACTGTTCCTCAGAAAACAGTGGAGAGTGAGGAACTTGCCCATGCCCTCGGCCTGCATCGTCACCTGCAAGCTGTCCTGGAGAAGTTGTACTCTTCCTTGCAGATGTGCCATCAACATTCTTGCCATCGCCTTTGTCGACGGACATATTCTTCTCAGTGAAGCTCACCAGATCTTGACGTGAAGGGTCAACAGGAGGATCGGGAGGAGGTTGTGTAGGAGGTTGCAATGCCTTGACGCCTGAACCCTGATTGGAGCTCTTTGCCGGGGTGCCTTTTAAAGGTTCATCTCTCTTATCCCCTTTCGGTGGAGATGGTTCCCCTTTCCGTTTTTCCTCAGGTTCATCTTCAGGCCCATTGTGTATTGGCAATTCGCCCCTACTTTCAGCTTCAGATTTCATTCTTTCATCTGCTACCTTCATCTCCCTCTGACCCTGTTCTAATTCCCCTCTAGTTGCTCTCCTTCTTTGAAAGCCACTCATTGCCCAGGAAGCCGTTTGGGCTCATAACCAAGCTTCGCGCCTCTTCCAAGTTGATCGGCCGCAGCAATGTCTCGTCAGCAGCCAAAAGTCTTCGCTATTGAGCTTGAAAGGGCAGCTACGGCAGCCGCATAATGTGAGAAAGAAATCTGGCATGTAAATTGGATGACATGTCTGAATTGAAATCACAAGTATGTCAAACCGGTAAAAATAGGGTATGCCATTCAGCAGGGCTTATCCGTAGTTCACTGTCTCCTTGCTATGTGTTTGGCCCCCGCAGGCAATTGCGCACGAGACCCGGTTCTGGAAACGGGCCCCTTAAAGAGGCATATTTTAACCTTCTACAGCGTGTACCCTCATAGTGTATTTATATATATATATATATTTGTGAGGTACCTTCCACAACCCACGGTTTCCCTACTTTCACTGATATGTACGATGTTTCCTTTGAGCCAGAACAAACTGTTGAATTTTGAGTCGCAATACGTGGGTGCTACACGTGACACACATGCAAAAAGACAAATGCTCTAGGTTACGGTATGTATATGTATAGGTATCTCTCTCCATCGCCTTCTCATACGTATTTGTATATGTATAGGTATAGGTGTATGTATATGTATATGCATATGTATATGTATATAAGGTATTGGTAGGGTACAGTATGGTATAGATGTGTGCATGTGTGCATGTGTGCATGTGTGTCTGCCTACCTGTGGGTCTGTCTGGGTGCGCATGCATGTCCATGTGTCAATATATACATGGGGTCCCGCACTTTGCTCTTTAATCCTCACCTGCTTGGTTGGCTCTCACATGATTGCAAACCCTTGCGAGATTGCAAGCAGCCATGGATTGGTGATTGGAGATTCAAGACCGAAAGCAGTCAGATTTTCTTCCGTGAATGTTCCGTTTTGAATCCTGACCTGCTTGCAAGCGCTTGCAGGTACTCATGCTGAAAGTGGAGGCATGCGTCTAGGTTCGGAGATGCGCAGACTTGGAAAGATCCATGTAAGTCTGTTGTTTCCGTTTTGGTTTTTGTGATCTGCTAAAGTGTTTCTTCTAAGCTACTATTGTTTGCACACTAGGCCTGCACTTTTTGGCTTTGTTCTCAAGGTTTTTGTAATTTCATGTAATTTCATGATCCATGCGGTTTGCATATTGCTTTGGTTTTCTCAAGGCTTTACCCTGTCACGAAGCATCGTCTTCTTGCAAGGGCGCATTTAAGGTCCAATTTTCCTTAGACTGGTAGCAACTCTGTCAAAACTTGAGCATTCAAAGGAAGACTTGGAAATCTGCAATATTCCTTTACATAAAAACATAAACAGTATTATTCTTGCCAAAATGAACCAGCTCTTTAGACATGCTCAGCTTCTTTCACTAGGGTCGAACATTCCTTGGAACCCATGCAGTGTCTGCTTGGTGTATATACGACTACTCTACATTACTTTACATTGCTTTACATTACTCTAAATTATCAAAGGAAGTTGGGAAGCAATGCTTCCGTGTTACGGACAAATAGAACTCTGAGACTTGAAATGATGAAGGGTGGTGCGCGACTGAGACTTGACCTTGATGAAGGGTGGTGTGAGACTTTACACTACATAACAATACATCACAAAAGGATTGACCTTGATGAAGGGTGGTGTGAGACTTTACATTACATAACAATACATCACAAAAGAATTGACCTTGATGAAAGGGTGGTGTGAGACTTTTCACTACATAGCAATACATTACAAAAGGATTGACCTTGATGAAGGGTGGTGTGAGACTTTACATTACATAACAATACATCACAAAAGGATTGACCTTGATGAAGGGTGGTGTGAGACTTTACATTACATAACGATACATCACAAAAGGATTGACCTTGATGACGGGTGGTGTGAGACTTTACACTACATAACAATACATCACAAAAGGGTTGACCTTGATGAAGGGTGGTGTGAGACTTTACATTACATAACAATACATCACAAAAGAATTGACCTTGATGAAAGGGTGGTGTGAGACTTTTCACTACATAGCAATACATTACAAAAGGATTGACCTTGATGAAGGGTGGTGTGAGACTTTACATTACATAACAATACATCACAAAAGGATTGACCTTGATGAAGGGTGGTGTGAGACTTTACATTACATAACAATACATCACAAAAGGATTGACCTTGATGACGGGTGGTGTGAGACTCTACATTACATAACAATAAATCACAAAAGGATTGACCTTGATGAAGGGTGGTGTGAGACTTTACATTACATAACAATACATCACAAAAGAATTGACCTTGATGAAGGGTGGTGTGAGACTTTACACTACATAACAATACATCACAAAAGGATTGACCTTGATGAAGGGTGGTGTGAGACTTTACATTACATAACAATACATCACAAAAGAATTGACCTTGATGAAGGGTGGTGTGAGACTTTACATTACATAACAATACATCACGAAAGAATTGACCTTGATGAAGGGTGGTGTAAGACTTTACGCTACATAACAATACATCACAAAAGGATTGACCTTGATGAAGGGTGGTGTGAGACTTTACATTACATAACAATACATCACAAAAGAATTGACCTTGATGAAAGGGTGGTGTGAGACTTTACATTACATAACAATACATCACAAAAGGATTGACCTTGATGAAGGGTGGTGTGAGACTTTAAATTACATAACAATACATCACAAAAGGATTGACAATGAAGTGGTGGGGAAAGGAAGTGGTGAGGAAGGGAAGTGGTTGCGCTGTGAGCTGCATGAATGTTGCATGGGCTTTGTGTTGGGGAGGAAGCCGGAGCACGAAACCTTGTGTTTTTCCGTGTAACGTGGCTGCAGCCGGCGATGAAAGGTACCTCGTCTGTGCGGCGGTTGCGGCTGCGGTCGTTTCTGTCGCGAATTGTTCCTCCTATGTGTTTTG